TATACCTTCACGAAACTCTATTGCGTCGGGATTAAGGTCCTGCTTGATTGGAGTCGGTTTGCTGTCGACCACTGGCACATTTGAACCAATCATAGCTTGTTTCTCTCGATGCAGTAATGTATTATGTCGCTTTCGGCATATCTTACAGCAGCTCTTAGAGTTGCAACTGGATAACTTATGCCGATCACTTAAGCAATTGAAACAGAGGTTGTTTTTGGCCACCACATCGTTTCTTTGGGAGGCTTCAAGCCGTAAAAAGGAATCACAAGTGTAAACAGGATGATTTTGCTTACATAAAATACAATGAGACATAGAATTGTTACATTTCACAAACAAGCTTTTCGGTTTAACTCTATCTTGACTACACCTTGGTTTCACGAACGTGGTCTTATTAATGTTTTCTAAAATCTGAGAACGCTTTTCCAAAAATGAAATCAAATTATCTAGTTTAGGAACGTCATTCGAACTGATACTGAACTCATACTGTTTTAGAGTCTCCTTATCCAGCTTCTGAAGTACGATATTTAAAATTAAGATATCAGAAAGCTCATTCCTTTCATATCCTAGGACTTTTAGTGCTCGCATATTTCTATTGATGCTATCAATTAAACTCCTCAAACCCCTTGCTGACTCATAAGGTAATTTTACAGAGTCCAGAATCGCATTAACATGGGTTTCTACTATTAATTTCTTATTTTCGTACCTTTCTTGTAGCGCTTGAAACAATGAAGCAAACGAATCGTTTAACGTTTCTAAACTCTTAGCTTCCCCTACGAGAGCAGCCTTCAAATAATGTAGTTTTTGTTCTGCCGACAGTTGCTCGTTTGACGAAATGATATTATCAAATTGCATTTTAAAGTTACTCCATTCTTCATATTTTCCAGAGAATTTCGGTAGAGGAATCTCCGGCAACTTAATATTAGCGGAATTATTTCGAACTACGGGGCCCTGAGTCACCGTGACCACGGACGAATCTGCTTCTAATCGTTTAATACGAGACTGGATCTTAAATTTACAACTTATAATTTTGTCCTCATATTCTTCACTATTGACTATCTCAGTGTCATAATCAGTTGGGCTAGTAATGAAACCCTCAATCTCCCCGTTTAAGGTTCTCAATGACTCTTCCTTTCGACTCAACTGATCCAGTATTTCTAGATGAGTTTCTGTCTCTCTATCGTCGCTTTCAATTAAACTATCGATTTTACTAATTAATTTCGTCACACTAGCTCTTATCGAAGCGCGCTTTTTCTTTAATTTCTCGAGTTGATCCATTTTAAACTGTCTACCACGTATAACGGACAGGTAAATTCCTCCTACCTTGGATAGGTGACTTAATGAAGTTTGACCCAATCTTATTTGCTTGCGAAGTTGTCTCTCTTTTCTTCTTGATCCGCCTCGACGGACCAGATGTTTGTCGATCTTTAATGGACTGTAAAAATATGAAAGTACTGCGGTTTTGCAAAAAATAACGTTTAATGCGGAATGAAACACTGGTACAAAATGGCTGCTACAAATGACCGTTACAGAACTACTCTCGTTCACAAAATTTTTTTTTTCTTTTTTTTTATGACAAAAATACGGTGGCGCTTGAGGCGCTAACACATGTTAACTGTTACTTCTGGTGCTGTATGACAAAGGATTGTGATAGACTCGAAAATTTAATATTTTTGTAAATAGTCGAAAACTTCAATTGAAGAATTATATCCTGAGTTATTACAGAAATTGTATAAGATAATAAAAGTTATAATGCTGACAAAAAGCAAAAAAGTATTAGGGTCTTGCCGGGCGGCACTGGCTATAATGTATATATAATATACAGAATGTTATTTTAAAACTTTGGAGAATTGTAAAGAATGAAATTTTAAACGTTTTGATATGAGGTACCTATAGCCAAAAATGTTATATAAAGATTCTACAGCATTTTGCATGTCTAATGCAGTCGATATGCTGAATGAAACAGCAGAATACAGTACTTATGACAAGTTTTATATACAAAAGAATAGAGTACAATCAAACTTTATATCGAATCAGTGGCTGCACTACTTTACAGTAAATGTTCAATGTTACGACCACCAACTTCGTTACATAATGTGCAAGGACAAACCATGTTTTTTCGACCCTCTGTAAGATGCCACGCTCCTCTCTGATGGTATTAAATGCTGTAAAGAATAGCTCCGTAACCTCATAAACTGTTCCTACGGGTGTGGCCTACACAAGGGACTCACGTTGACTAGTTGTGTGTTTACAGCACAGAGCCTGTGAATGTAAGGGGTGACCTGAAGGACGAAAACCACTAAGTACACAATGTCCGGTACACAGGCACAGTTAGCCCACTTTAGTTGTGTGTTTACAGTCTTTCATCTGTAGCAATAACATAACGTCAATGGACGGAAGGGTAGCTACCAAAGTGAAGAGCGGGCAAGCATTTCCTACTGCTGTAGACACAGTTCAAATTTCCGGCTATAGGTTCCTGATATCAAAGCGTTCAAAATTTCATCCTTTAAAATTCCGCAAATTCTTAAAACGTCATTCTGATACAACCTGTATGTGTGTGTGTGTGTGTGTGTATTGTGAATCTTACTACAAAAAAGCACTTATCGTTTTGCGTTCTGAATAAACTAGAAATATATTTAACGGCACCATTCCAGTATGACTGATTTTTTCCATGACCAAAATAAAATATAAAGGCGAATACAAACCCTTCCCGTTTTTATATTATTGTTGTTTTTATAAAAAATTATTTTAAGGCTGTTTTCATCTATTAAAGAAATATTCTACGTATTTCATTTGATCAAAATAAACGGCCAAACTGCCCACGTTCTGTCGCACTACATATAAGCTGTCTACGTTTATAAATATAGAGGTGGGTACGTGTATAAATGCAATTTATTATAAATAACAAATCATTTTATTTCGTGCTATTATAATGTAATATTTGACAGGAGAAGTGAGAAAACAGGAAAATTTTACTCTTAAAAATCTTTCTAACAAATCGCATATTAAAAGCATCTTACAACTAATATCGAACCATGTAGCTGCGATTGCAATTTTTGAACAACAACACACTTTCTGTTGATTATAAACAATGCGAACTAGTGATTAGATATTTAAACATATCGTTCAGTGATAATAAATTTAGCTTTTAACCGCATCTTAAATTCTAAAATTCAACACGTTTATTATCGACATTGAAATGAATTTACGCACTTCTCTACTCTGAACAAAGTGAATGATAAAAATTATAAATAGTTAATTATTATAACAAAATTCCAAAGGAGTAATGAAGACGTCGATGCTCAGGATATAGTCTATGAAAAGTAAACTATAATCAATTATATTAGTAGAATTATAGGATAAAAATCGTGAATATAAAATTATGTTTATGAAAATTAATATTAATTATTAATTCGAATATTATCAAAATATAGTCAATGAAAAGTAAACTAAAATCAATTATATTAGTAGAATTATAAGATAAAAATCGTGAATATAAAATTATGTTTGTGAAAATTAATATTAATTATTGATTCGAATATCATTTTGTGTAATTTGTACCTACTCTAATAAATAATTTGTAATCATTTTTAAAATATAACATTGGGATTCAGCTTACAGCTGAAGAGTTTTATTTTATAAGATATTTTTATTACGACAGTTTAGAAAATATAAAATTACAAAACAGCGAAATGTAATTTTTTACTTAATAAAAAATTATAGAATATCTAAAACCAAATGTAAAGCTTTCGATAAATCAAAGGTTCGATTATACGGAAAAAGAAAAAATAAAGAATAAAGGGAATATTATGGATTAATAAATTATATATTTAACACGAAAGAAAACATTTTGAACGACAACAGTAAAAGATATAATTACGTAAAATTAAAATTTGGAATCTTTTCATCGTTTTTCCAATTATAATTCGACAAGGAAGCAAGCAAAAGACAGAAGGTAACCGATAACAAGAATTGCGAAGGTTCCATAAAAATTCTTTAAAATCAAGGGGTCAACATCAGACTCAGTTTCTTTACTCATAGCAGCTCTCTTTTTAATACATTTCATAAGCGGATGGTTCCACGAGTCAACTTCTGTATAATGATTTTGAATACCTCTTTCGAATAAATTGTACATTCTGAAATAAATATGAAGCGTAATTACGAAATTTTTAATCTAAGAATTCGTATATTTAAAATACAACTTACATTGTGTTGAAATATTCTTTATGGTGAAATCCTTTTCTCATAACGAATGCCGACGGCATGGAAAGTAATACATCGTCAGACACTGTCGCATCCATGGCGATTTCGTAATCGGAAATTTTCATGGAAGCCATATTAGTAATGTATGCAACACGAGTGTAATCGAAGGATTCGTCGTTACCGTTCAAAAACAAATCGTGTGTACGTATGATATCATTGCTTGAAATCTCTTTATATAATATTTTCAAATAACTTAGTTTTGAATTCTGAAAATAAAGGTTATTTAAAAGTTTAATATAAATTGTTTTATACATTCACCCAGTGGCGTAGCGTAATGGAGCTCCCCTTCCGCCCCGGGCGGCACTTATAGGGGGCGTCAAAATTTCACAATAAATAATAATAATACCTTGTAAAAATTTGAACCATTTTATTTCATATTTTTGTCGTACTTACGATTCGGACCGATTGAAATGAGCACGGAATTTTTCATTACTTATTCTCTGACGAAACTGAATTTTAGTCTTTTAATTAAATTGAGATACCTAATTAAGGGGACGGCGAAAGTTTTCTCCACCCCGGGTGGTTGATACACACGCTACGCCACTGCAGTCACCAAACAATATTTCAAATGCATTACTGGCATTAAAAAAAAAAAACGATTTCATAAAACAAGCTAAACACATTTTTTCACTTCTACATAATTGACTAGATTCTCCTTTCCGAGTTAGTTCTTGAAGAGTAGTGAAACCCAACGTGACTTTAATGTTTTAAAACTCGTACGCGACTCTGTTTCCCTCTGAAATTTAGAAGAAAATTTAGAGGAATTTATTCCGTTTTTCAATGATTTAAGTTTTCGGGTCAATAGTGTTATCAAACTGCGTTTTATTTGCCTCTACTGACCTCACCAGAAATATCCACCTATATTTCATAGGAATAGAATTTGTCTTGTCATAAATGACCCCTAAGTTTTGCTACAAAGAAAAGTAGATTCATTTCAAGCTAATGGGTGTGTTCTTAGAATCTTGTTTATTTCAAGAAAGGAAATAACCGTTTTCCATCGCACTACTAAGAGCTAAATCAATCGAGACCATCACGGAACCCGTACCCATTGATTGTTTGAAAAAATTTTCTGTCTTCTTTCTCCATACGTAGCAATTGTATTAGCAACCATCAGACCTAACCTTACTTTCTTTCACTGATTACAATTCTTCCTGAAATATCTTTCTGGGTCACGTAATTTCACAATAGATATTACGTATTTACTTAACTATGTTTAACACTCTATAGTAAAAGGGAGCGGTTCTCCTTGATTGTTTTGTGTTAAAGGATAAGTGACCAAATTAAGAATTGTTATTATCAAAGCGAAAGTGAAAATTAGAACTAAGATTTGCTTCAAAATTTTCAGCAGATTTGTTGCATTTATAGCAAAAAAGTGTTTGTCAAATTGGATAATTAACTTGTTAAAATGATACCTTAATAAGGAAACAAATAGATGACAGAATGAAAATAAAACAAAACAAATTAAAAAAAGATACTCATATAAAAGATACATCATTAAAATTATTAATGTTTCTCGTTTCTTTCAAGACAAATATCACCTTTGTGAAATAATATGTTACTTTCAAATTAGACAATAAAAATAAATAGTTGATATGAAAACAACTTTAGATTTCTGAATTTTTAATTGACGCACTTTTAAAGATTCGGAGAACCCACAACTTCGATAACGCTACCTAAATATTTGTCAGTACACTTGACGGATTTACTGTATTTATAAAAAGATTTGAAATATTTTACGTGAAATATTATCTTATGAATTTACGAACAACTCACCTTAAAGATGTTAATCACATATGGGTAGTTAGGTGCAGTACAAGTAAATTCTCCTTTTTGGACAGCTGATGCTAATTCTTCAAACGTTCTCGGCAATGACTGTTTTTCCTTGTTAATCATAAATGAAGTTAACGTTCCAGCATAAGCCCAACATATGATCAAAACGGGAAGCATCCAGAAGACCAAGGCCACTCTGGAGGGTGAGCGTCTAACGACGTTCAAATCGACTCCTGAAATAAAAACGAAAGAAAGAATGTTCAACAAATACAGTTTTTAAATGAAAGTATTGTCTTGTTATACGTTGATACTTACCTTGATTGAGAAAACTTCCGAACAGAAACCAAACGAATATTTTTTTATTCCAACCCTTGTAATTGTCTTGTGGTGATTTGTCATAACTGAGTATTATAAATATGAGTATTCCAGCCACCAAAGTACAGAAGAAAATCACCAGCCACACCTTTATATGAAAGGTTTTTCTGTGTTTGAAATAACATTTAAAAT